AAGGCGGAGTTATTTCATGAATTATTCCATTTTTTTCACAAAAATTATTTAAAGATAAATATTCTCCACCTCTATCTGATTTAATTCTCTTGATTTTTCTATTAAGTTGATTTTCAACCTCAATTTTATAAGAAATAAAAGCATTAAATGCATCATCTTTATTTCTAAGCAAATACAACTTAGTATATCTAGAAAAATCACCAATAAAAGTTACATAATATCTTTTATCACCTCTAGTCATAGTTTGCTTCAAGTCGCCTAAATCAGTGAGAATTAAAGATAACAATTCAGTTTCTCTATTTACAAAAAAATAAGTCTTTCTTGTACTTTTAGCTTCACACATATTTCACACTTATTAATATTACTTGAGTCTAAACCAGATATTAATCCTAGCGAGTGCATTTTCTTTATATACGCGACATTAACATGTCCTAGTCTAGCATGCCACAAAGAAATTGACTCAACCATATAAGCAGAAGAAGATGCATTTTCATTGCTAGTATCAGAAATATTAAGCACAAATAAACCATAATTATAATATCCATTGCCCACAAAAATATCATTTTTGGTCAATACGACCTCATTATTTTCAAATGAAACCTTCACTCCAACTTTCCTAATAACCCCACAGAAAATAAATTGGTTTAGATATTAGGAACATGCAATACATCACTCAGTGCTAGAGTTTTACCATATGTGAGTTTGAGAAGAATTTTTCCTTTCCCAAGAACACGAGCTGTTCTTGAGTCACCAAGATAAATAAATTCTTCTCCTTCCTCAATTTGGGTGTAAGACAAAAATTTATTTTTGTCTCCACAAATGTGCCTAGTAGCACCAGAGTCTATCACTCAATTTCTCACATTGGCCATATTATTTTTTTGGGAAATGACTGCAACAATTATATTATTCGCTTTAGTCAAATTTAATTTTGACTTAGCGAGATTGTCATTTATCCCAACTCTACTATTGCATTGAGGTGCATTTTTATTGAAGATTTTAGTATTAGCATTGGATATGTAACCATGTCTATTTACATACCTGTGTTTTGACATGAGTGTCTGCCAAGGTTGTGGATGCTATAACGTATTTGCAACACCATGGATATCTGGCAGGATAGTTGGAACAGTAGCAGCAGAGACATTACCAGAATTGGTAGCACCATAAAAAAACTCCGTAGTAGTATTACTTGCCATAGTTTCTTAGATTGTAGGGAAATGACACCGAAAAGTAACGATAATAATAATAATACTGCAATAATATTATTTGTGAGAGGAAATAAACTAATTGGCTTGAGTCGTGCTGGGCACTGTCCTAAGAAACTATTTCAGCAGTGTGAAATGTCTCTCCAAGATTAAACAAGCATACCTCTATTAGGGAGGATATAGGAATCAGCAAAATAGTAGCTTACAAACCCAGCTATTTTAAAAGAGGGAACAAACAAAGTAGACTATAAATGTTTTAAGGAGGAAGAAAAGGAAGTTGAGAGGAACGAAAGAGGCAAAGTAAAAATATGCTGATGCATGATGGCTATTTTGAAGGCCAATTTATAGGTTAATTGAGAGGCTTAGGGCATGCCAAGTGTATGACACTTGTTTTGAACTTCCCGTGCAAATTGCCACATGGATGAACATTTGTCCATTTTTTGGGAAATATCACAACAAAAAATATAGTTAAAATCGAAGGTTCATTTGATCTTGATGTCCTAAATTATTTCCGTGTGAACTGGGACGAGATGGATAACGACGACGACATTTATGTTTGTTATAGCACTACTGGTAAACATGTAACAAAAATTATGGGAGCTGTTGTAGGACAAATGCTATTTATTTATTTTTTTATTTTTATTTTTGGTTGCTAATTCAGTTATCTAGTTAATCAACTAACGAATACGACTAAATGATAAATATTTATTGAGACTTTTTAACATATATAGTAAGTAGTTTTCTAGTGGTTAAAAATGTATATGTCGGATAACTAAAATTTTGCTGTAACTTTAAAAAATATGAAGATGAAAAAGTAGATATAATGCATTCCTATGTCACTATACAATAACGATAATGATGATAATGATAATAATAATAATAATAATAAGTCAAAATGGTATTTGCAACTTTCTTAATGTGACTATAAAATTAATATAATGAATCACTTATTGATTGAAAAGTTACAGCTTTTTCGAATGTGTTAAAAACTTGAAAAATGGAAGTAAGAACTAGAACTAGAAGACTTGGAAAGGAGATTTACTGTGCCCCTAATGTCACCATAAAAAAATTATTAATTAAAAAGGCCAAATAATAAGCATAAGGAAATAGTAAAGTTTTAATTGACTTAAGAAATATCAAGAAATAAGTTAAACATTAAGAAAAAAGTTACCAACGGTCTAAAAAAAATGAGCGCAACCAAATATCAAATTGGATCTTATATTTCTAATCTTCTTTTTCCCGTCAGAGATATAAATAACAAAACAATCAGCGATTTTAAGAAATTAAATTGCTTTCCTCTTTCTTTTTTTTGGTCGAATTAAATGAAATAAGTTTCCGAATTTCGATACAAATAGGAAACAAAGGAGGGGGGGGGAAAGAAAGAAAGAATGAAACATGAAGGCTACATAAATTGAAGTGAAAGCAACGCACTCCGATCCGTTTCCTACATAAATTGGGATTAAAGGCTTATATATACCTTATTAACCAACCCTTCGACTTGTTATTTTCAATGGCTACAGAAATAGTACATAACAAGAAGCGACTCATTACTGAATCTGAGTCTGATGATACAGAAATCCTTACTAAGAAGCAGCGACTCATGGAAAAATCAGAGCTTGACTTCATCCAATTCTTGCTTTGCCCTGAGGATTTGACAACATCCTTCGACATTACTACAGATGATCCTGTTCCCAACATTATTCCGATATTCAACTTTTGTTCCCAAGAAGAAAACAAAGACACGTCCAACGCCGGTGGAACTACGAGGATGGTTGCTGGGTCGTTTTACATACCAAAGACTAACGAACAAAAGCCACTAGGAGAAGACGCACACTTTATATGTGCAGAGGAGCAGACTATAGGCGTTGCTGATGGAGTTGGTGGTTGGGCTAAAAAGGGTATCGATTCAGGAAAATACTCAAAGGAATTAATGGAAAACGCGGAATTATCCATTCACAAACAGAAACAACAAGATAAAAGTAGTACTGCTAATATTGATTTAATCAAAGTACTTAATGAAGCTTTCTTGAATACAAAGGCTATGGGTTCTTCTACTGCTTGTATGTTGACACTCGCTGATGACACTCTGCATGCTGTTAACGTTGGAGATAGCGGGTTCGTGGTGATCAGAGACGGGGTAATAGTTTATAAATCGGAAATCCAGCAGTCGAGGTTTAACTGTCCTTTTCAGTTGGGGAATAGCAAACATTCTAATGATCCAAGTGTCGCAGAGAAGATTAGTTTTCCGGTGAAAGCAGGAGATATAATCGTGATGGGAACAGATGGATTGTTCGATAATGTTCATGATTTTCAGTTAGAAGTTGTTGTTAACAATGGAGTGGACTTGTGGGAATCGGATGCGCCTGATACATTGGCGTGGAGGATAGCGCAATATGCACTGGAGAATTCTAAGAGCACAGAGCTTTATACTCCTTTTGCTGGGGAATGTTTCAAAGCTGGACTTGAGCACAGTGGTGGAAAGTATGATGATATAACAGTCATAGTAGCCCATATTTGGCCTTTGTAGTGCTCTGCTTTATGATGCCTAATCTAACTTTTTTCTTTTCTGTTTTGGCGAAATTAGAGTTAACAATTCTTGGTAGTTGTAAAAATTGATTCGAGATACAAGCAAGAAACCTGTATGTAATTTGATTCTTTATATATGTTTGGTCCCCATATAATCATTGATTAACTGTAATATACGTTTCTTATGTCATATGGTGCAGTTTTTGGCATAAACTAGGAGCGCTGAAAGTCACCAACATAAATTGCAGAAAGATAAAAAATTGTATAACCAGTTGCTGAGTTAAATACGTTATGCTCGAACTCTGACAAACCTAATCGAGTTTAAAAGGAGTTCTGGAATCATGCCAAGGCAAAATTATGCCAATATCAAGACGGAATGTATTATGATTAATTGTGAAAACATAGAGAAGTTGTATTAGAGAGAACCTGGAATCAGATGTGACTATCAGGATTCAGCCACTGTCCAATTTGTCTCAACTCTTATAAATTTTACCACTTTAAGTGGTGTCCAATTTGCCTCTGTTTTGAATAAACGCACTACATATTAGCTACGGAGACGAGGGATTGCTCCGATTGTCAGCACCCCCACCTAAACGGAGACAAGGGAAAGGGATTGCTCCGATTGTCAGCACTCCCACCTACAATCTCAGGGTTGTGGGTTCTAGTCACCAAAGGAGCAATAGCTCCAAAACAGGGGAGGGGAATAAGTTTTAAAAAAAATATTAGCTACGGGATTTTCAACCATTAAAAAACATATGAATAAAAGCACCCAATTGTTTACATATCACATAAAGTCCCAGCGGAAAAGTGATCTCACATCTTTACCATAAAAAATATGGGGTCGACTTCATCAGTGCTTTTTTATTCCTTCAGTCTGCACTCAAGCAATACTAAACCAGTAAGGTAGTCATGGCCTAATATACAGTGCATTTCCCAAAAAAACCATCCAGCAATACTAAACCAGTAAGGTAGTCATGGCCTAATATACAGTGCATTTCCCAAAAAAACCATCCAGCAATACTAAACCAGTAAGGTAGTCATGGCCTAATATACAGTGCATTTCCCAAAAAAACCATCCAGCAATACTAAACCAGTAAGGTAGTCATGGCCTAATATACAGTGCATTTCCCAAAAAAACCATCCTAAGGAGAGAGGCAGATGAATTCATTTTCTGCATATGCTATTTAGGGCATGTAAACAGAAAGTTCATGCAAAAAGAGAGAGGAAAGTCTGTACTAAAGAAAATAAAAAAATCCCAGACAAAATTTAACATCGGGGAAAACACAATCTTATAACAGGTATCTAAGTTCCAAAAAAGGCATATAGAGGCAGCAAGCTCAGCTGCATCTTAAGCACAAACTTAAATACTTAATCTGTAGTCTTGGTCTTGCCATTTCAATAGATTGAATTCCTGACATCTTCGTCATATCTTTGTTTTACAAAAACACTTGCATTCTTCCACAATTTAAAGTTAAAAAACAGTATGAAAAATAGCCTAAATAAACAGCAAGGAAAGCTCAAAATAACAGATGACGGAAAATTCAACTGCCAAAGTGTCCTAAATAAGCTGAGTTTTCTTTCAGCCTCTCTGTCCGCCACCCAAGATATTGCAACACAAGCATCTTGACAGGTACCATCAGCAAATTCCAAGATAAAATGCCATCTGGAAAACAAAAGGTAATAATTGAAATCTTGCACGCATCAATTACCGATTTTCCAAGAATTAAAAAGGAACCAAGTAACACATCATCGTTCTGAAAACTCAAAAGTACGCAAGTAGCTATGAAGACAAAAAAATAACTATTGAGAAAGCAAGAGCAGATGGAGAAAACATATTCTGGAGCCTGTAAAATGTCGTAGCAAGATATACCTTGGTTTACTAGCGCCGGTCAGTTTTCCCAGTTGATCGCTTTCCTGAGAAGAGATGTTTTGGTTTCAGAGTAGGAATAACTCTATCAGCCTCTCCCCGCCGAGCATCCTTGTTCCTCTTCTTAGAAGAACCCTTAGCCATCTTTATAGCCATCTTCTTCTGGGCTTTGTCCTTTAAGCCCTCCCCTGGAACAAATTCATCTGGAGGTCGTGACCTTGACCTTGATCTTGCCGTAATGGAAAGTGACCTCAATCTTTGCTTCTTGTTGGGAGTAATCTCGTCGACATCCATTGCATCCTTACCAATGTCATCTCCACGTTCAACTGATCTCTCTCGCTTACGACCCCTTGATTTACTACGGGCTCGATTGATTGCTAGAGTTGGATCCAGCCCCAAAGCAGATAACTGCCTTCCCATTCTTTTTGAAGTGAACTCCTTGTCTTTGTCAAACTTTCTTGGTACAGTGGGTCGGCTCTCTGCAGTGCTTTTCTTAATTCTATGCTGTTGAATGAGCAAACTCTTCTGTTTCCGGATTTCAGCTAATGCTGCTTGTTCTTCAGGGGTCAGCTCAATGCCGTCCATCTCAAAATCATCATCTCCTTCTTCATCCTGACGAAGACCTTCTTCTCTCTCCAATTCTTCAAGCCTTTGTAAGATATCAGGGTCAATAAAGTCATAGACATTGTGCCCATCTAAAATTTCTGGCATTACATCTTCCTTCCACTCCTCGTTTGCTAATAGATAGTGCTTCCTCAAGCTGGCAGAGTAAACACCTGCACCTCCGTTCTCATTCTCCAGATCTCTCTCAAGTTTCCTTTTCTGTTTCTCAGCATCTGCCTCAGCTTCCTTAGCTCTGGCTTCCAACGCTGCCTGAGGTATGCATACTGGCCTCTCTTTCTGGTCACGTGGTTTTGGCATAGCAACATGGAAGCGGTTCAAGCAGTCATTCAACTTTTTCGACTTCATTTTCAATTCCACCCTCTGATTCAGTAACCTCTCACAAGCTGCATTCTTCACTGAAATCACGCCATCTTCGGTCAATGTGCTCATAGTTAACAACACACCTGCTTCATCAGTTGCCTCGCCACCTTGACCCATCACTGTCTTCATGGCTTCATCTTTCATCTCTGCGACTAACTTCTTGTCTTCCTCAGAAATCCCTTCTAATGGCTGCAAGTCTGTTTTGTTGCACACGATCATCAAGNGTAGCAAGATATACCTTGGTTTACTAGCGCCGGTCAGTTTTCCCAGTTGATCGCTTTCCTGAGAAGAGATGTTTTGGTTTCAGAGTAGGAATAACTCTATCAGCCTCTCCCCGCCGAGCATCCTTGTTCCTCTTCTTAGAAGAACCCTTAGCNTTGTTGATGAATGAGCTCTTTCCAACATTTGGATACCCACAAATCAAGATTGTCCTAGTATTGGGATCAATTGAGGGAAGTCTTGCCATGTGCTGCCTAATCTGTTCTAAATAAGCTAAACTTGGGCCAATGCGCTTTATAACAGTGCACATGCGCCCAAGAGCAGCAACCTTCAGGGACTTGCACCGATAGAGTGAGTCGCCATACTTCAGCAATTTTACATAATCTTTAGCAATTTTTGAAATCAAATTTCTAGCAGTATTAATTTGGCCAAGGGCAAGCTTGTAGTGGTCTTTGTTGTAGAGCACATGAAGAAGGTCCCCATAGAAAGGATGGATATCGTCAAGCCTGGGGAACTCATCAATAATGGTGGAGAGTTTGTCATAGAAATTCTGCTGTGTATACTTCACTTTGCGCATGTAAAATTGACGTATACGAGAGATAGCATATCCTTTGTGGACAACAGTAGGAGTTTGACGCTGTGTGCGAGACAGAATGATATCGACAAAGTCCTTCCCATTGGGAACCACCGTAATCTTCTTAAAGTTGTACTGCACCATTTTTTATAATCTGGATAAAACGAAAAACAGCATCAGCAAATGCACACAAAAACCCCATCAACCAGCTGATCTCTCTCAAACCAATCAATCAGCAATTCAAATAGCAAAAGTATCTTCCATTGAAAAGCTTATTAATTGGTCCTTCAAATCCTAAAGCTATGAAAATACACACAATTAAGGGAGAAAAATTCTATGGCCACAAGTTCAAATTTACCACTAGGCTATTCCATTGGGGATTTTTCAGTCCATGCCTTTAATATGTTAGTATGTGATGCATTACAGATGAAAATAGAAACCTTTTACAGTATGTAGAGACTATCTTAAAATCCGCCCAGATAGACGCACCAGTCACCACATCCGATTATAGATAAAGTCATTGCAAATTACGATCATGTAACTATAGTTAGAGGTTCTTCATACATCGAATCAACCAAAAGAGGAAAAAGAAATCTTGAATACACCGGATTTTAGCATTCAATCCATGACATTGAAATGAAACGTAACACTTCTCAAGTTCAAAATTATACGACTAAATAATTGAAATCCCCCAAATAAACATGTAAAAGCTGATCTGTTTCATACCCAATAACGAAGCCACTGACGCTTAACAAGGTTTTCCCATACGATAATTTTGGAATTCGAAAAAGCAAATAAAATGAGATTTCAATCAAAAGGGAAAACAATACGCTACACAAGAATCAAAATTTAAATGTTTGAAGCATAAAGACTGCAACTTTTATTTTCACTTTCAGTTCCACAAAAATAAAGAGCAAATCATTCAACTCAAATTATATCTTAAGCACAAATTTCATCTAAATTCATGTACTGAAAAAGAAAGTGACAAACATACCCACTTACAGATACCCAAATAAACCACTCGCCGAAATTTTCAACAAAATTTCAGAATATGAATATAACTAAGTATGAACTCAACTCTTCAGCATCAGCAAAAGCAAATGAATAAGAAAAAAAGATAACCTTAACCTAATTGAATAGATGAAACAGCACAATAATACAGCTCAAATTTGAGATGCAGAGTGAAGAAATTACGAGACTAGAAGGCGGCGAAGAGGGACACTATGGAGGAAGAAGTCTGAATATCGCTGGCGGGTTTTTGGTCTAAACCCTAGGCTTGGAAAGAGTTTACGTTATTTTACATAAAATATTTCATAATCTACAACTATAAAGTACTACTACAACTTAAATACAGTAAAAGAATAAAAAAAATAGCTCTTATGCACGGTAGCTTCCTATAAATGAGGAAACTGAATATCAAACATATTTAATAAAATCAATTGTTCCCCAAAAATACTCTATCGCAATTCCTATAATTAAGGAAACTAAATAGGAAAAACTCTCCATTTCCTTTTTATTTGTATTCTACCTGTCCGCCACATTCTCAACAAACAATCCATCTTTATCAAATCCTCTTTCTCTAGTAGTAGGTGAAATAATCTTTAAATAAATATTACTCAAAAAAAGGAACAAAATACATCATAATCAATATATAGCATGTAAACTTTACTATTAAATAATTCAGTGCGTACTAACGTCCCATTATATAACAAAGATATGATGTATTTTATATTACTAGTATTTATAAACGTGCATTGCACGTTAATAATGGCACATGATGGTTTAACTATTTATTTATATGAAGGAACAATAAAATTTAATTAATGAGAGTAATTTTATATATAATACTATAACAATCATCTAAATACCGAAAAATATTGTTACATTAGCATAATACGTGAATTCAAAATGAAAGAACATCATCAGAACTTACATAAATGATCAATTTTAGTCATTTTAAGTAGATAATTATGTATTGTTTACAGCAAGGGCGAAGCCCCACTTTGCTTAGAGTGATCAATTGACCACCCTTTGTCGGAAAATTATATTGCGTATATAGGTAAAATATTAGGTTTTGAAGATAAATAACATATATTGAACACCCTTTGTCATAATATTTTTTACTTATTTCAAGTTTGAACACCCTTGAGAAAATTTCTGGCTTCGCCACTGCTTTACAGGTATCTAATGTGATGGTATCTTTCCGAACATTTCTTTATGGACGATATTTTTTTGTATGTGTTTCCTTCTAATGGTTGGTTACTCTGCCATAATTAGAACTTTTGTTGTCGGTATTGATATCTCTCTTGAAAGTGCAACATATAGTTATTCGTGTAAAAAAATATATTGTGATAAATATAGTTCAATATTTAGGATGTTTGTCCTTATGCTTTATTTATTATAACTACAAAACATAAACATACTAAAAATTATTTTCATACAAATTTAAAAGAATATTCTTTAATTTTGAAAAACGAAAGTTGAATGCGGGGATAAATACATACTTAGAAGCACATGTATCATAAGTTCTGCATGTATGATATTATTGTCAAATCTTTTATATACCTTATGTGTACTATTACATAAGTTATTCAGTGGATCTAAGTTTGCAGTAGCATGACATGCATATTTTTCTTCAAAATCAACATATACAATGGAAGATCAATTTTAACTTGGTCTATTATATATATGGTGACACTAACATGCGTAAGATATAATGAACTTGACAACAAACATGTACGGTAGAAGGCCATTTGGTGTTAAAGTATTTAAGTATTCTTCTGTTGAGTCAAAACTGAAAAATATTTTATTTTTACCATAAAACTTAGTAATCAACCTTTTATTTAGTTGATCAACATATTCATTTCTGCTAGCTAAGATAGTTCTTTAATTTCTATAATGTAATTTACACAAACTGCATTTTAATCTAATGATGAAAATATTTTTCTTATTAAATGCACTACTATTACTATTGGGATTGATAACCAAGTGTTCTAAAAGAATCAAATCATCTTTTATTGGATGTTCTTCTTCGTTTTCGACACGAAGCAAGAAGTCACTGAATGTTTGATCTGTTCTTACTTTTATATTTCTTGTCATTTGAATATTTTTCATTTGAGGTCATAAGTATAATTTTGACAAGCTAGATTTTACAGCTTCTGCTTTGGTCAATATTGGAACTAGGCATCCTAAGCAAAATATTCAACTTCCCTTAAACTTCCCTTTCTTTTCTGCTTGAGCCCAAGCAAGCCCAATTCGGGGTCGCCATTTTACTCATCCCACTAAATCTGAGTGTGATGAATCCGACACATCCACCACTGACTCAGGCCAGTGGATCAACTTTCAAAAGTATGCTACCAATATTTTTATGCATTTTGACCTACACAGAATATATGGAATGAAGAAAAGTGGATAGACGCTTGTGACATACTGGAATATCTTTTACTAGAGAAATTGGAAGGTTTAGGTGAGAGAGAATTAGAAAGAGATATATTTTAAGTGAGAGAGAATCTCAAGGGATAGATTTTAGGATATGAAAAGATGTACATAATTTAATTAAAAAGATAAGATTTTAAAATAAATTGTACTAAAAGTAATTTTGTTAAAGCAGTTGTAAGAAATATAAATAAATCTTTAAATGGTTGTATTCTATGTAAATTCCTCATTATATATATATACATATATATAGTCTTGGGGCATTTGCATCTATACCCGCTTTTTGTGTCACGTTTTAACTTGTGCCCGCTTTGCAAAAACAATTGCAAGCATACCCGTTTTTCGCATAAATTCAGCATACAGGGCTGAAGTAGCAAAGACAATCACGCAAAACTTTAGTATTCTAGTAGTCGGGCCTGAAGTTCAGCTCTAGAGCTGAAGTTTTTGTTTTGTAACTGGCGAACTTCAGCTCTAGAGCTGAAGTTTTTGTTTGTAACTGGCGAACTTCAGCTCTAGAGCTGAAGTTTTTGTTTGTAAGCTTTAGTTCTAGAGCTGAAGTTTTTGTTTGTAAGCTTTAGCTCTAGAGCTGAAGTTTTTGTTTGTAAGCTTTAGCTCTAGAGCTGAAATTTTTGTTTTGTAACTGTCAAACTTCAGCTCTAGAACTGAAGTTTTTGTTGTAATTGGCCTTTTGTTTGTAAGCTTCAGCTCTAGAGCTGAAGTTTTTGTTTTGTAACTGGCGAACTTCAGCTCTAGAGCTGAAGTTTTTGTTTTGTAACTGTCAAACTTCAGCTCTAGAGCTCAGCTCTAGAGCTGAAGTTTTGTTTGTAACTGGCTTTTTGTTTGTAAGCTTCAGCTCTATAGCTGAAGTTTTTGTTTTGTAACTGTCAAACTTCAGCTCTAGAGCTGAAATTTTTGTTTGTATTAATATTTTAATTGGCTAATAATGCAGACAAAGCGTCTCAGACACCATCATTTGCTATTACAAGTATTCTTCTAGCTGATGATAACTGTTTGAACAAAAAAAATATTAAAAGAAAGCTTGTGTAGCATTAAAACATTAAAAGATTCAGACACATTTAGAGGCTTTCATTCAAAGAAAAGATTTTTTTCACAATATTAGGACATTTCAGAGGCTCTGGGAAACAAGAAAGTGAATTGTTTCAATTAAAATAACTTTCTGTTTACAAATATTACCTAAAATTTTACTTTGATTCAGCAATCATGTATATGAACAATTCCAGTTCCCTCTTCTCTCACTGTGAGTAATTGAAAATGGAAAGTATGACTAGACTATCATAATTTGCTATAACTTTTTCAATACAGAGGTTCAAAAAGATATTAGGTCATTCTGGGACGCTTTGTAATAGCAAACAGTTAAATTTTTTTGCATTAGTTGAAAGAATATTAATTGAGACAAAACGAAGAAGAAATAATCTGCACCAACAACAGCAGAAGAAAGAAGAAGAAAACGAAGGAGGAGAAGGAGGAGGAGAAAGGGGGCTGAATTTATTTAAAAAGTGGGTACAAGTTAAAAGTTTTTAAAAAAATGGGTATAGGTTAAATGGGGGTGACCAAATAGGGCTCCTCGTGCAATTTTTATGGTCTTGGACAAGATGCAAACTGTCGGCCCATTCTAAAACCAAATTATGCCCAACTCCTTCAAGTAGTGTATAATTTGACGGGAAACTACCAGTTATGTCCATTTATAAGTAGTTTATTACGAAAATTGGTCATTTTAGTAAATATTATTAATACTAATCAAACATTATCAATATTAGCCAATAGCTTTTTGTAGCAAAAAAGGGTCAAATTTTTGCTTCCTTTGAGTAGGTGTTATTAGAATAGATTGGGTACATCTTAAGAGGTTTGAATCTCAATTTGGAGTGATTTGGTGGAGTTTTGAGGTGGTTTGGATTGAAAATTCGAATGAGAAGATGAACATGAAAACAAAAATATATGTGTCACATATGTATATTTTTATCAAATGTGTAGCACATATATATCCATGTATACATGTGTGTGATACATTTGTGATACATATGTCACAGAAGAATTTTTGGAACTTGATTTTAACTACGAATTTTGATACCAAATCAGTCCAAATCACCTCCAATCTTCCTCAAAATCTGTATATTGACTCATCTATATATTTTCAATGAATTTAAATCATACCCATCAAAAAATATCCTTTTTTGCTTAGATGAATCTTGTATATAATTTTTTTTTCATCAACTTATTTGCTACTTCATCCATGAAATTTTATTTCCTTGCATCTAATGTTGCTGATTATGCTTACAAATATGAAAGGAAATCTTTGCGTGTGATTCTTGGAGAGAAAGAACCTATTTATTTGATTTTTTTAATTTTTATCTAGTTTTGGTAAGTCTATGATTAATAGTAACTATAGGTTGGTAAGTTATGACTTATTTAGGACATCTCCGTAAGATTTTCCAAATTTTATTGATAAAAGAAGTTATTACAACATCAGTAGGACTTGACTAGTTGTGACATTAGAAAACTTTGTAAAAGCTTTAAATGGTGTTGGTTTGATTCACTTGCTGTACTTGTTTTTTAAGATTGATTTGGTAATTAAATAAAATTTTAAAGGTAAAAGAATAAATTATTTTGATTTGGTTGAGCTTTGTTATGATTAGGGGTGTTCAAGAAAAACTAAAAAAACCAAACTGAAGCAAGAAAATCGAAACAAATTAGCTATAGAAATCGACATGTATTTGGTTTGATATTGAAGAAAAAAAATGGACTAAACTATATAGTTTATTTTCTTATAAATATTTTAATCTTTTTATATAACTTTTACAACTTATTTGGATGGTTATTACCTATTGTATTATATCGTATTGTTACTTTAAATATAATATTTATT